CGACAGCACCCCAGGCTGGGGTCTTTGCCCCAGAGAAAACAACTTCCCTTCATTCAGGAATAGGGCCAGGGCTTTAGTGGGCCTTGAGGGAAAAGTCCTAAGTTAGAAGACCCTTACAAAGTGCCAAGGCCTAAAACCCTAAACCGTAAACCCTAAACCCTGAACCCTAAACCCTGAACGCTGAACCCTGAATCCTAAACCCTAAACCTTAGTAAGTTCCTCTGACCACTGAAACCCAAACCCTAAACCCTAAACCCTGAACCCTGAACCCTGAACCCTGAACCCTGAACCCTAAACCGTAAACCCGAAACCCCAAACCCCAAACCCCAAACCCTAAACCCCAAGCCCTAAACCCTAAACCCTAAACCCTAAACCCTAAACCCTAAACCCTAAACCCTAAACCCTAAACCCTAAACCCTAAACCCTAAACCCTAAACCCTAAACCCTAAACCCTAAACCCTAAACCCTAAACTTGGGGGTGGGCTCTACCATCATTTACTATGGGATTTGCGCTATCCACCGCGGGTCCTCCGTTACAGCTCCGTTACAGCACCGGCTACCGCTCCGTTACAGCTTCGTTGCACCTCCGTTACAGCTTCCACCAGAGCTCCGTTACAGCTCCGTTGCACCTCCGTTACACCTCCGTTACAGCTTCCGTTACACTTCCGTTGCAGCTCCGTTACAGCTCCAACGCACCTCCGTTACAGCTCCGTTGCACCTCCGTTACAGCTCCTTTACAGCTTCCGTTACAGCTCCGTTACAGCTCCGTTGCAGCTCCGTTACAGCTTCCGTTACAGCTTCCGTTACAGTTTCCGTTACAGCTCCGTTACAGCTCCATTACAGCTCCGATGCACCTCCGCTACAGCTCCGTTACGGCTTCCGTTACAGCTCAGTTACACAGCTCCGTTACATCTCCGTTACAGCTCCGCCACAGCTCCCGTTACAGCTCAGTTGCGCAGCTCCGTTACAGTTCCGTTACAGGTCCGTTATCAAGTTGCTGCTTCTGCTATGGCTCCGTTACAGCTTCTGTTACAGCATCGCTACAGCCGGTAGCGCTCCGTTGCAGCCTTCCGATACGGCTCCGTTACAGCTTCGCGACAAGCCCGTTACAGCTCCGCTCCTTTCCGTTACAGTTTCCGTTACAAGCCCCGTTACCGGCGAGCATTTCTGTCATAGTAGAGGCCTGCAAATGATGGCAGAGCCCCGCCCCAACCCTAAACCCTAAACCCTAAACCCTAAACCCTAAAACCCTAAACCCTAAACCCTAAACCCTAAACCCTAAACCCTAAACCCTAAACCCTAAACCCTAAACCCTAAACCCTAAACCCTAAACCCTACCCCCCAAGCACCACAAACCCCAACCCAAACCGCAAGCCCAATCTGGCGGGGGGGGCCTCCGAAGCTGCCGGCCGTGCCAAGGCACTCCAGATCCAGGCCTTCGACCCATAAAACTGGAGCCTTAATTTTTTTTGTGGCATTAGGGTTTAGGGTTTTAGGGTTTAGGGTTAGGGTTTAGGGTTTAGGGTTTAGGGTTTAGGGTTTAGGGTTTAGGGTTTAGGGTTTAGGGTTTAGGGTTTAGGGTTTAGGGTTTAGGGTTTAGGGTTTAGGGTCCAAACCCGAAGCCCTAAACACTAAACCCTAAACCGCAGAACCCTGCACAGGCAGAGGCGCTATTGTGTCCACCATCCTCTGTGTTCTTTCCACAAGTGGCAACGCTTCTGGATGGGTCTGCATGACCTCTGAAGCCTACATCCTAATCCCGAAACCCTAAACCCTAACCCTAAAGCCCAAACCCCAAACCCTGAACTCTTTTGTTTTTTTGGGACCTTGTGCCACTTGCAGCCGTATTGGCCCTCGAGCAGTTCCAAGTCTCGAAGTCACAGAACGTCCATCAGCGCGATGTCCTCTAGGCGGGGGCCTCGTTTAGGGTTTAGGGTTTAGGGTCTTTCAGGTTTAGGGCTTAGGGCTCAGGGCTTAGGGCTTAGGGCTCAGGGCTCAGGGCTCAGGGCTTAGGGCTTAGGGCTTAGGGCTTAGGGCTTAGGGCTTAGGGCTTAGGGCTTAGTATTTGCCTGAGAACCATCCCCTCAAAATCGAGATATTCTTCCTGATAAGGGCAATGTAGGGATTGTGATTCTATATTTTGGGGGGGTTCTTAGGCAAGTAGTAGCTTGGGCTTAGGGTTTAGGCTCCAGGGTTAGGGTTTAGTGTTTGGGGTTTGGGGCTTTCGGTCTTAGGGGGCTTAAAGTTTAGGATTTAGCGTTTGGGGTCCATGCTTTAGGATTCGGGGTGTACGGTTTAGGGCTTCGGGGTCATGGTTTGTGGAACATCACAGTGCATGGAGAATATTTATCAGGTTGCTACTGGTGAAACCCCTACACCCGAAGCCCTAATTACACCCGAAGCCCTAAACCCTTCTTTTCGGGTGGGGGAATCAGTGGCCGCTCAGGGATTTCAAGGGCTTTGGAAGGTGTGGTCCTTCACCCGGAACCCTAAACTCAACCCTGAACGCTATAGCCAAAACCCTATGCACTGAACCCTGAACCTCAAATCCTAAATCCTACGCCCCAAACCCTAAAGCCTAAATCCTAAACCCTAAACCCTAAACCCAAGCCCCAAACCCTAAACCATAAACCCTAAACACTAAACCCTAAACCCCGAGCAATCCTTATCCCTGAGCCCTGAAGCAGGTTTTGCGCACGCCGCCGCAGCTGCCTCGGGGCAGTGAGAAGTTCGGGGATGTGTGGGTTAGGGGTTTAGGGTTTAGGGTTTAAGGTTTAGGTTGAGGGTTCAGGGTTCAGGGTTCAGGGTTCAGGGTTTAGGGTTTAGGGTTTAGGGTTTAGGGTCTATTGTTTAGGGTTTAGGACTTAGGGTTTAGGTGTTTAGGGTTTAGGATTTCGGGTTTGGGGATTCGGGTTTATGCCCGAGTTTGAGCCTTTTTTCTCATGGGTACTAAAACCCAAGGGCCCAGACTTCACAGGAACGCAAGGGGAATTCAGGGATCATGCAACTATACCCTTAGAGGGTCTCGAGGCTTGGGTGTTAGGGCTTAGGGTTTGGGGTTGAGGGTTTAGGGGCTTAGGATGTGGAATGTAGAGCTAGAATGAACCTACTTAGAAGACTTAGGGGGCTGAAAAAGTACAGTTACAATGGGGTATTTGGCGAGGGTTTATGGTTTAGGGTTTGGGGTTTAGGGTTTAGGGTTTAGGGTTTAATTAGGGTTTAGGCCACACCGAAGTCGCCCAAAGCCCTCCAGCTGGGGCGAGGGTTGAGGCGCAGCAAGTATTTGGAAGCATTTTTGGATGTGAAGCCCAAACCCAAAGCTGCTGACTCAAGCCAAATTACCCGAATCAGCCCCCGAAACCCTAAACCCTACACCCCAAACCCGAACCCTAAACCCTAAACCCTAAACCCTAAACCCTCAACCCTCAACCCTCAACCCTAAACCCCAAACCCCAAACCCTAAACCCTAAACCCACACGGAGAAGGTACGTTGGCTCTCGTGGCTCTTGTGGCTGCAGGGCTGCTGAAGGACCCCAGCTTCGGTGGACTGGTAGGTTCTGGAGTTTACGGGTGACCCCGAGCCCTTGAAGCCTAATCCCTAAAGCCCTGAAGCCCTAAAGCCTAAAGCCTAAAGCCTAAAGCCTAAAGCCTAAAGCCTAAAGCCTAAACCCCAAACCCCAAACCCTAAACCCCAAACCCTAAACCCTAAACCCCAAACCCTAAACCCTAAACCCTAAACCCTAAACCCTAAACCCTGTAATTTCTGGAGGTTAGGGTTGCAGGGTTCGGGGTCAGCGCTTCGGGTTGAGGCTCAGGAGTTGAGCTTGAGTTTAGGGTTTAGGGTTTAGGGTTTAGGGCCGGAGGCCCCAATCGCCCCGCAGAAGCCCCCCAACAGATTCCAAGAGGCACCGCAAAGCGCCAAAGGCATCGATTTCAATAGACGAAGTTGGCAAGATTTCAGCAAAATCAAAGATCAAAACCCTCCCCAAACCCCACCAAAACCCAGAACACAAACCCTATTTATTTTCTGTAAAACCTAGACCCGATACCCTAAGCCCTAAGCCCAGTTGCGGGTGTGGTAGGGCTTGGGGCTTGCAGCGTGGGGAAGTCGGCCGGACGGTTCAGGGTTTGGTTCGGGGGTTTAGGGTTGAGGGTTCGGCGCTTGCAGCTGACTTCTCTGCTCACGTGCGAATAGAGACTCGGTTGGTGCCGAGCAGCAGACTCAGTAGATGCCGAGATGGATTGGAGGGCTTAGGGTACAGGGGTTTGGGGTTTACAGCTTAGGAGTTGGGGCTTCGGGCTTCGGGCTTCGGGTTTACGTGAGAAAGCCGGCATATTCACGTAATGCAGCATCTGAGTGACATGTGTGGTTTCGTAGTTCCCCATCAGCAGTTCAACGAGTCTCGAAGACCAAGATGATGTCGGACAAGATGTATTGATGATCGTCGAGTGAGAATAGTGTGCGGAGGAGCATGGAAGACGTGCATAGAGAATGCAATGGATGCGAGCAGTCGTATAAAACGCGTGGGTTGGCTGTTTGGGAACCCCAAACCCCAAACCCCAAACCCCAAACCCCAAACCCCAAACCCCAAACCCCAAACCCCAAACCCCAAACCCCAAACCCCAAACCCCAAACCCCAAACCCCAAACCCCAAACCCCAACCCCAAACCCTAAACCCTAAACCCTAAACCCTAAACCCTAAACCCTAAACCCTAAACCCTAAACCCTAAACCCTAAACCGCAAACCGCAAACCCCAAACCCCAAACCCCAAACCCCAAACCCCAAACCCCAAACCCCAAACCCCAACCCCCAAACCCCAAACCCCAAACCCCAAACCCCAAACCCCAAACCCCAAACCCCAAACCCCAAACCCCAAACCCCAAACCCCAAACCCCAAACCCCAAACCCTAAACCCTAAACCCTAAACCCTCAACCCCATACCCTAAACCCTAGGCCCTTTTCTTATCGCTCATCGCTGCACTGGCACAGGCCGCTGACATGCGTTGCAGCGTTATGATGGAGGCCCGTTTCGGGTGTGGAGGGCTGGGGAAAGTACGCGAAACCCCTAAATCCCTAAACCCCAAAGCCTAAAACCCTAAACCCTAAATCCCTACCTACACCCCAAAGCCTAAAACCCTAAACCCTAAACCCTAAACACTAAACCCTAAACCCTAAACCCTAAACCCTAAACCCTAAACCCTAAACCCTAAACGTTTAGGCAAATTCAGGGCTTCTTTGGCGCCCGCCTCCCCCCAATGACGGGAAAGGGCTCGGGATGATTTCGGGTTCAGGTTTAGGGTTTAGGGTTTAGGGTTTAGGGTTTAGGGTTTAGGGTTTAGGGTTTAGGGTTTAGGGTTTAGGGTTTAGGGTTTAGGGTTTAGGGAGTTGGTGAAGCCCCTCAAATCTGAAACCTCAACCCTAAACCCGGCCCCACCCAAAACCCTTCAACTCAAGCCCTCAACCCGAAACACCCTCAACCCTTAAAAACCCTCAACCCTTAAAAACCCTCAACATTAAAAAAGCCCTAAATCGCAAGAATCCTCAACACACACACACACACACACACAGACCACGAGGCCCCCCCCTCTCAGACGGGCCCCTGTAAGTTTCTTAAGCAATATCTGCACGGGCATCCGACTGCCTGTATGTGTTAAAGTAAGAACAAAAAGCAGGGTTTAGGGTTTAGGGTTTAGGGTTTCGGGTTTAGGGTTTAGGGTTTAGGGGTTTTTAATTTCAAAAGCCCCGGGCCGGAGGAAGCCATCGCGCCCGAAGCGAAGCTGCCCACCTTGAAGGCCTCAGGGGAGGCTGAGATGGGTTTACGGCTTCTGGCGCTGGGGTTTAGGGTTTAGGGTTTAGGGTTTAGGGTTTAGGGTTTAGGGTTTAGGGTATGGGGTTTACTTGCCGGTTCAGGTTTTCGGAACTAAGGCCGAGAGCTGGCGTCCGCGGTTTGGTGCCGGTGGGTTCGCATGGCGGGATGGGCAACGAAACCCTAAACCCTGAGCCCTGTTGTTTTTACAAACCCTAAACCCTAAACCCTAAATTCTAACCCCTGAACCCTAAACCCTAAACCCTAAACCCTAAGCCCCCCCAACAAAAACACGGCCCGGTGCGGATGGAGAGATCAAGGACTTCGGTTGTGGGCTTCGGGGCTTTAGGCTGAGGGTGGGTTTGCTGCTTCTAAAGCCCTAAACCCTAAACCCTAAACCCTAAACCCTAAACCCTAAACCCTAAACCCTAAACCCTACACCCTCAGTTCTTGCTGCTTCTATGAGGTGGGACACGACTTCTGGTACCAGCAGTATGACACGAACGCCGTCGCCGAGCCGGATGCTCAACCTCCACCTTCTGGGTTTGGCCGGGGACCAGGGGGGCCCCTCATTAGAGGTTTAGGGTTTAGGGTTTAGGGTTTAGGGTTTAGGGTTTAGGGTTTAGGGTTTAGGGTTTTAGAGTTGAGGGTTGAGAGTTGAGGGTTGAGGGTTGAGGGTTTAGGCTTTGAAATGTCCTATGCCACCCTCAGAACCCTGATTGTGTGCTTGTATGGGGGGGCTTCGGGCTTATAGGGTCCAAGCCTTAAACTCTCACGCCCGCTGTCTTTGCTTCTAAACCCTAAACCCTAAGCCCTAAGCCCGAAGCCCTAAACCCTAAGCCCTAAACCCTAAACCCTTTGTTTGGGGTTGTGGGTTCCTTGATACAGTAACCAACCAACCCCCCCCCCCCCCCCCCCCAAAAAAAAAAAAAAGAGTACCCTCATTATAAGATGGTTACTGAGTTACCAAGTACATAGGGGTACCCTAACCCCTGCTTATTGCCATCGACAAGTTCAGAAGAGGGCGTGGTGCAGGGCTTTCGGCTTCAGGGCTGTGGGACCAGGATGTTCTAAATTCAACAAGCCTTTAAGACCCTCGAGCCTGAACACCCAAAACACTCCCCAAAATCCCAACCCCCCCATAAGCCATAACCCAAAGCCCAAACCCGTAACCGCTAAACCCTAAACCGGAACTTTCAACCTTAAACTCAAGGCCTACGTCTGCATCCTAACCTTCACGGCTTCCGCGCCATACTGCGCTAAGCCCTGAACCCTAAACCCCAAACCCTAAACCCTAAACCCTAAACCCTAAACCCTAAACCCCAAACCCCAAACCCCAAACCCCAAGCCCTAAACCCTGAACCCTGAACCCTAAAACCCCCCTCAACAGGGGCTGGCGCGGCTCCGCGATGCGTCACTGGGTGGACCGGGCAGGGGTGGACCGGCGCGGGTCCTGGCATTTGCGTTTAGGGTTTAGGTTTAGGGTTTAGGGTTTAGGGTTTAGGGTTTAGGGTTTAGGGTTTAGGGTTTAGGGTTTAGGGTTTTGAGGGTTTTCGGGTTTTGGGGGGTTTGGAGTTTGGGGGTTCGGGTGCCCAAAGCCCTAGCCTTTAACTTCACAAAACCCTAAACCCTAAACCCCCAAAACCCTGAATGTAGGTTCGTTGAGGGTTTAGGGGGGTTCAGGGTTTGGGGTTCAGGTGTTTAGGGGGTTTAGGCCTCGGAGTTGGGGGTTCAGGGGCTAGAGGGTTGAGCAGGGCCGAAGCCCTTATCGCCCTTAAGGCCCTTGAAGCCCTTAGGATGTCCCCCCTTATACTAGCAGTCCTTAATAGGGATGATAGTGCCCTCTATGAACATCCCTACTAAGGACTGTTAGTATAAGGGGGAACATCCCAATTTTAAATCTGTAAAGCCCTTCAAAAAGCCTTACGCACATGTTCGAAGGTCTGCGGACGCTTTGGAGGCGGAGTTGCGAGCAACCCGTCGGCTCCCCAGCTAAGGTGCAGGGCTTTGGGTTAGGGTTTTCTTGGGCTGAGGGTTCCCTAAACCCTGCCCTAAGCCCTAAGCCCTAAGCCCTAAGCCCTAAGCCCTAAGCCCTAAGCCCTAAGCCCTAGCCCCTAAACCCTAAACCCCAAACCCCAAACCCCAAACCCCAAACTCCAAACCCCAAATCCCGAACCCCAAACCCCAAACCCCAAACCCTAAACCCTTGCTTGGTCGGGGGCTTAGGGCTTAGAAAGTGTTAAGCTTGATTGCCCAGCAAAGACGAGGACCCAGAGTAGGCCCTTATCCCCTTTTTCGCGGGGTGTATATTCCCTAACAAGTCCTTAGTGTATAGGGTTTAGGGTTTAGGGTTTAGGGTCTAGAAGCAGGGGCTTCCAGTGAGGGCACTTCTCTACATCACCGCGCGTTTGGAGCGCCCTGAGCTGGCTCCGTGGGAGAGAATAGGAAATCAACAGGGCCCAGGGGTGCTCCCCCTTATACCAACAGTCCGCAATAGGAATTATTTTAGGGGGTCAGGCCTGTTACCCTAAACCCTAAACCCTAATCCCTATTAAAGACTGTTACCCTAAACCCGAATCCCTAAACCCTAAACCCTAAATAAACCCTAATCCCTATTAAGGACTGTTTGTATAAGGGGGAACATCCCAAGGTCAGCAGAGTTGAGAGGGCCGAGCATGCAGGTGTGTTTGGGTCCGTAGGTTTTGCGCCGTGTTCGGGGGAACCAGGAACCGAAAATCCCTAAACCCTAAACCCTAAACCCTAAACCCTAAACCCTAAACCCTAAACCCTAAACCCTAAACCCTAAACCCTAAACCCTAAACCCTAAACCCTAAACCCTAAACCCTAAACCCTAAACCCTAAACCCTAAACCCAGATCCTAGACCCTAGACCCTAAACCCTAATCCCTAACCAAAACCCTAGACCTCAACTTCCTGTGTGACAGGGTTTTGTTTGGGGGCTCCGTTTGCTTTCGTACAAGGTTTGCACCATTTATTCAATTGATTTCTTGTAGATATTTCCCGCAAGAGGCTGCGCTAGGGACGCAAGAGCACATTCCGCGTCACTTCACCAGGTGTTGCTCGACACGCTCCACGCCGCTTCGCCGCTTTGACTTCGTGAACTACTGTCTACTTATGACTCCACCTGGTACTCCATACCCACTCTGCATCCACCTGGCACAACTGCACTCCGCTCCAGTCCAGTGTAGGTCATTGCACGCGTCGCCACACGTGTGCTGAACTTCATTCCAAGTGCGCTTCGCTCCAACTTGACGGCGCTTCACTGCATGCCTGCACCCCACTGCGCTTCACACCCCCACTCAACACCTAACTTCACGCTTGATTTCACACTCCACTTCAAATGCCGCCACAGACAGGTCCTGGGTCTATGTTTCTGAGCAGGCTTGTATACAAGACAAAAAGATCAGTTCACACCTCAATCCAACCCCGCTTCACTGCGCAATCCACGAACCCCAAAACCTTAAACGACTACGCCCCAAACCCTTAACTCTATAGCTTCCAAACCCTCTAACCTAAAACCTTCACGTTTAGGGTTAGGGTTTAAGATTCTCAAGTTGAGCCAGGCATTGGGCGTCGCAGCGTGACGGAAGGGCGCCAGCCCCAAGCTCGATGGCTGTATGGGGAGATCTCTACATTAGGGTTTCGGGGTTTACGGTTTACGGTTTGCGGGTTGTGGGGTCCGCGTGCAGATGTTGCTGCGTGTCAGACCCATCCGCTTCCACCCTAAACCCTAAACCCTAAGCCCTAAGCCCTAAGCCCTAAACCCTAAACCCTAAACCCTAAACCCTAAACCCTAAACCCTAAACCCTAAACCCATCCGCTTACAGCTGCCAGCAGGGTTTGCATGTGTTTTCTTGGGCACTTCAGGGATGGACCGCCCTCTTCGCGATCCCGAAGCCCTGAAACGAACCTCCTGAAACCTCCTACGTCAGGGTTTAGGGTTTAGGGTTTAGGGTTTAGGGTTTAGGGTTTAGGGTGGTAAATTTCGCGGAGCATGTCGGTTCAACACCAACCGGCGCTAACTCCTGACACAGGGGTTGGGGGTGCATGCTTGTTTTATTTTGAAAGTGAACAGCCGTCTGAAGGCTCTGCGCACCCACAGCGGCGAGCAAGCATGTTTTACGGCTTGTTAAGGGTCAGCGTCCCACCGATGAGCTTCCATGAGACCGAGATTCCCGAGAGATTCCCGAAGAACCAGGCCAGAAGCAAACCCTACCCCCCTATAGCCTTGCCATGGCTGACCTTAACTTCAAGATAAGCTCTTGCAGCGGGCTCACGCGCATTTGCTCCAGTTGCGCCCGCGGCTTATGGTTGGAACCGAAAGCACCATACATGTCAGTGAAAACGCTTAAGTTCGACACAGTGTGTTGGGAGTATTGTCGCTAATTTTGCAGGGCCGTTTTTCTACGAACTTTTCGGGCGGCCACCACCATGCGAAATGCATTATTTGTCATTTCTTTCTGGTTGGCGTTGGTTCGAGGCGAAGAAAAGCTAAGGTCAGTGAAAACTTTAAGTTCAACATGGGGTGTTGGAACTATTGTAACTGATTTTGCCAGACAGTTTTTTGCGACTAACTTTTCGGGCGCCACACCCATGCGAAATTCACCGTCTGTCCTTTTTTCTGGTTTGTGATGGCTCGAGCCGAACAAAAGTCAAGGCCGGTGAAAGCCCTTAAGATCAACACCGGGCGTTGAATTTCTTGTTGCTAACTTTCCGGGGTGGTTTCTCTACTGGTTTGTTCGGCTGTCGGGTGACCGTTTTCGGCGCTGAAAATGGGCAATAACTGTTTGCACGGAGCAACAATTTAGAAACTGTCTTGGCTTCGTTTTTGGATGTTTTATTTGATTTTTTGGGTTTAGGGTCTAGGGTTTAGGGTTTTGAGTTTAGGGTTTAGAAGCCCAACAAAAGCAAAACGGAAAAAGCCTTTTAAAAAAAAGACCTCCCCATTGAAATCCAAATGTGAGCTGTGTTTGGCGGTTTGCAGCTGAAAGGGTTGGGACGGTTGGCTGTTCGGGCTTAATCTGGGAGTTAAAGGTGGCTTTAGTAATGATGGCCATGGCTGTGCGGTGTGGGTGGCTTAGATCCCGAAATCGAGCGACTCTGACCCCAAAAAAAAGTTAGAGACCAAAAAAGACCCCAAAAAAAAGTTAGAGACCCAAAAAAAAAGTTAAGTTCAACACCGTGTTGAACCTAACTTTTCGCGTTGGAAATCCTGCGTGTTTTTGCTGTTTTCCTACGTGTTTTTTCAGGCGGCAAGGCTACAAACCGACGCCGTTTGACCATTTTTACCCTTATTTCCCACATTTTTTCCTGAAACACGTCACAGCCCAAAAACCACGTAGGATTCAGCAAAAACACGCAGGATTTCCAACGCGAAAAGTTAGGTTCAACACGGTGTTGAACTTAACTTTTTTTTGGGTCTCTAACTTTTTTTTGGGGTCTTTTTTGGTCTCTAACTTTTTTTTGGGGTCAGAGTCGCTCGATTTCGGGATCTAAGCCACCCACACCGCACAGCCATGGCCATCATTACTAAAGCCACCTTTAACTCCCAGATTAAGCCCGAACAGCCAACCGTCCCAACCCTTTCAGCTGCAAACCGCCAAACACAGCTCACATTTGGATTTCAATGGGGAGGTCTATTTTTTAAAAGGCTTTTTCCGTTTTGCTTTTGTTGGGCTTCTAAACCCTAAACTCAAAACCCTAAACCCTACCTTGGGCGCCCAAAACCCTGAAAAAAGTGGGTTTGGAACCCAAAACCGGGTTTTCCGGAAGATTTTGTCAAAAACCTGGTTTTGACTAACAGAACCGGGTTCTTTCAAAATGTGACGTATAGAACCCGTAAATACCCGTCGGAAAACCCGAAAAAAACCGTCGAAAACCCAGAAAAAACCGTCGGCTTTCATTTGGCCCTACAAAACCCGGTTTTGGTTTCCAGAACCTGGTTTTAAAGTAGAACCTTCTTTTTTTTGGGTTTTGGTTGCTGAAGGTAGACCCTAAACCCAAAAAATCAAATAAAACATCCAAAAACGAAGCCAAGACAGTTTCTAAATTGTTGCTCCGTGCAAACAGTTATTGCCCATTTTCAGCGCCGAAAACGGTCACCCGACAGCCGAACAAACCAGTAGAGAAACCACCCCGGAAAGTTAGCAACAAGAAATTCAACGCCCGGTGTTGATCTTAAGGGCTTTCACCGGCCTTGACTTTTGTTCGGCTCGAGCCATCACAAACCAGAAAAAAGGACAGACGGTGAATTTCGCATGGGTGTGGCGCCCGAAAAGTTAGTCGCAAAAAACTGTCTGGCAAAATCAGTTACAATAGTTCCAACACCCCATGTTGAACTTAAAGTTTTCACTGACCTTAGCTTTTCTTCGCCTCGAACCAACGCCAACCAGAAAGAAATGACAAATAATGCATTTCGCATGGTGGTGGCCGCCCGAAAAGTTCGTAGAAAAACGGCCCTGCAAAATTAGCGACAATACTCCCAACACACTGTGTCGAACTTAAGCGTTTTTACTGACATTTATGGCGCTTTCGGTTCCAACCATAAGCCGCGGGTGCAACTGGAGCAAATGCGCGTGAGCCCACTGCAAGCGCTTAACTTGGAAGCTAAGGTCAGCCATGGCAAGGCTTTAGGGGGGTAGGGCTTGCTTCTGGCCAGGTTCTTCGGGAATCTGAGGCTCATGGAGGTTCACGGGCGGGACGCCGGCCCTTAGCAAACAGTAAAACATGTTGGTTCGCTGCTGTGGGTGTGCAGAGCCTTCAAATGGTTGTTCAGTCCAAAAAAAGCAAGCATGCACTCCCAACCCCTATATGAGGAGTTAGCGCCGATTGGTGTCGAACTCACCTTCCCGAAACCTGGTTCGCGAAATTTACCAGTTTAGGGTTTAGGCTTTGGGGCACACTCAAAGCACCGAGAGCGCCCTACAGCCGTTACAACCTAAAACCATTGAGGAACAAACCTGCTTGGAGGTTCAGGGTACGCGTGAACCCATTCCAACTGTGCTTATAACCCGCTTATAAGCCCCTGAAGTGCCCTAATATAATTACAACTTGGGTTATGAGTACAGTCATCATTGGTTAATAGATACCATGAACCTTCAAGCAAGAGAAGACCCCTAAAACCTCGAACCCTTGCAAGTCCTCCAGTCCCTTGCGCCCTGCAAGCCGCGATTTTCAGGGTTTAGGTTTTTTTGTTCGGGTTTTGGGTTTCGGGTTAGGGCGTAGGTTTTCGGGTGTAGGGGTAGGGTTTAGGGTTTGGGGTTTAGGGTTTAGGGTTTGGGGTTTAGGGTTTAGGGTTTAGGGCTTGGGGACGTAGCAACTCCCGGAACTGGAACACGAAGTGACACCCTGGAAGCCCCCCCCTCTTCACCAGCGAGGAAAAGCTTGGCCCGATGCCCCAAACCCCCAACGCCATAAGGTAAACGTCCCCAGTGTTTTTTTTAGGAGATAAAGGGTTTAGGGTTTAGGGTTTAGGGTTTCTGGGTTTCTGGGCTTCGAGTTGTGGAGTTGGGTTTGAGAGGGGAACCTACCGCCTTCCAACCGGATCTGGGTACTGCTGGTCCCCAAGCGCCCAGACAGAACTCCGCTTATGCCCTGGTTGGTTTTGGGTTCAGGGTTTACGGTTTAGGATGTAGGGTTGAACCCCAAAAAACTAAACAAACCCTGACGCCCTAAGCCCCTCTCAACGCACCCCGCAATAGCTAGTCTAAGCGTAGCTGGGTCGGTGCTTGCGATATACAAGGGACCCTATATATATATATATATATGTACATAAAGACATGTTTCAAAAGGGTTTAAAGGCCAACCTAGTCAAGGTTTACCTGTGATGTATGGATCGACGACGTCAGCATTGCTACGGGCTGTGGCAACCCTAAACCTTGAACCCCGAAGCCCACGAAGAACCCCCCAAAAGACCCTAGCCATCCTAAACCTACAGGTTCTAAGTAGGGAACGAGGGAATTGGGTACCGTATATCCCTAAACCCTAAAACCCTAGACCCTAAACCCTAAACCTTAATCCCTAAACCCTAAACCCCAAAGCCTAAACCCTAAAAACCCTAAAACCCTAAAACCCTAAACCCTAAACCCTAAACCCTAAACCCTAAACCCTAAACCCTAAACCCTAAACCCTAAACCCTAAACCCTAAACCCTAAACCCTAAACCCTAAACCCTAAACCCTAAACCCTAAATCGGTTGAGGGACCCGAATGCAGACCCCAGGCGCCGCCTTGCCATGCGCCGCCAGCGCGAAGCGCGTCAGGTCGCACTCGAGGCACGGGCCACTTCGGGTCATTGCGGTTTAGGGGTTGTGGGGTCTTTTTGGGGTTTAGGGTTTAGGGTTTAGGGCTTTTTTTGTGGTCTTGGGGTCTTTTTGGGGTTTAGGGTTTTGGGTTTAGGGTTTAGGGCTTTTTCGGGTTTGGGGTTTAGGGCTTAGGGCTATAAGGTACCTAATTCCCATGGGTTTTCGTCTTTCGGGTTTGGGGTTAGGGTTTACGGGTTTAGGGGTTTAGGGTTGCAGGGTTTTAGGGTTTTAGGGTTTAGGGTTTAGGGTTTTAGGGTTTTAGGGTTTAGGGTTGTTGGGGATGAAGCTTCCACCTGATGCAAGGCCCGTCGGCCGACGCCGCGGAAGCCTCAGTGGGCGCAGTTGATCGGATTGGGGTGTAGGGGTTTAGGGTTTCGGGTTCAGGGTTTAGGGTTTGGGGTCTAGAGGTTTAGGGTTTAGGGGTCTAGGGGTTTAGGGGTTTAGGGGTTTAGGGGTTTAGGGGTTTAGGGGTTTAGGGGTTTAGGGGTTTAGGGGTTTAGGGGTTTAGGGGTTTAGGGTTTCAGGGTTTTAGGGTTTTAGGGTTTCAGGGTTTTAGGGGTTTAGGGGTTTAGGGGTTGTAGGGCTGCTATGGTCCATTCTAGACGCCTGCCATGGGCAAGGAGCTCTTGTACATACCCTTAACCCAAGATTCTGATTCCAAACCCTGAGCCCCAAACCCTAAATCCTAAACCCTGAACCCTGAACCCTGAACCCTAAACCCTAAACCTAAACCCTAAACCCTAAACCCTGAACCCTAAACCCTAAACCCAACATTGAACCCTGCCTAGGGTTAAGGGGTCCTTGGGTTCACCTCACATCAACAGACCCAGCCATGAGGGTAGTTCTCTGGAGTTCCAGGAGCTTGAGGTCTTGGGGGGCCTCATCTTGGTGCCTAAACCCTAAGCCCTAAACCCTAAACCCTAATTCCTATAGTGGTGCAGTGTCTTCAGGGTTGAAGGTTTGGAGGGTACAGGGGCTTCGGGTTCGTGGCCAGGGCCTTCGGGGGTACTAAGGCAGACAGTTCTCTTGAAGGGGGGGGGGGGGAAGGCAGGGAAATGTGGTTTTCTAGCATCAGAGAAGTAACCCCAAACCTAACCCATGCAGCCACTCAACAATTCTGGTGCTCTGGGTTCGAGAAGGACTGCGCAAGGAGTCTGAGCAGGTTCAGGGTTTAGGGTTGAGGGGTTGGGGTCTCACCTTATAATAAGGATCCCCTCATGGCACTCAACAAAACCCTACGACTTCCCAAAGCACGTGCTGCCGCAACCAGCTCCGACATCACCACGGGCCGCGTGCTCTATGGCAGGACGAAGTCCCAGTACACACCAACGCGTCCACATGAAGTCGGGAGGAGGTGGATGGACCGCCCAAAAGGCGCTCATCCAGTGCTGCCTCACACCCGGACTCCGAGACAACCCTCCAACCATCCAGTCGCAACGGGACAAGAGCGTCATCGATTCCAGGCAAGCAGAGATCCTTGGAGTCATCCTCGCCGAGTCCAGACGTTTAGTTTCGGGTTTGGGGTTTAGGGCTGCCTGAAGCACGAAAGCCCTAAACCCAGACCCTTCGGGTTTAAGGCGCTTAGGTCTCAGGGCTCCCCTAAATCCTCAAAGACCCCGAACCCTAACCCCCCAAACCCTAAACCCTAGACCCTGAACCCTGAACCCTGAAAGCCCTACACCCTCAACCCTCAAAGCCCCCTAGAGCCTTCACAAAACCCCGCAACCCTGAGCCCGAAGTCAGGCCCGAGCCACATGTCCAGCAGGTGCGCCAGGGGTTTGTGAAGTAAGGGTTTAGGGTTGAGGGTTTAGGGTTTGAGTTTTTGGGGTTTTGGGTTGGGGCAGTAGTGGGGGTGGAGGGTTCAGGGCTTCGGGTTTCGGGTTTGGGGTTTCGGGTTTGTGGGGTTGGCTTGGGTTTCGTGGCTTGGCTTCATCAACGGCGATGGTTCCGACCTTTTTCGGCTTCGTTGCCGGCCTGTGGTACGCTAAGTCGCTGGAGGCCTAAATACCCAAAATTATTTTACTTCGAACATCCGAGTCGGTACAGCAACACTCTGGGGCTGGGCACGGTTGGGCACTCTGGGGTTGCACTCCAAGGAGACTCTGGGGCTGGGCACTCCGGGGACAGGCACTCTAGGGAGACTCTGGGGTTGGGCCTCTGGGGTTGGGCACTGGAGGGAGACTCTGGGATTGGGCACTCCAAGGAGACTCTGGGGCTGGGGATTTTGGGGACAGGCACTCTAGGGAGGGTGTTTGGTTGGGCACTCCAAGGAGACTCTGGGGTGGGAGACTGGGGTTGGGCACCCTAAGGAGACTCTGAAATTGCTCTCGAGTTCTCTACAATTGGGCACTCCAGGGACACTCTTATGGTATTTGGGGTATTTGGGGTATTTTAATTTGGGTATTGGGGTATTTGGGGCATTTAGGGTATTTAGGGTATTGAGGGTATTTAGGGTCTTTAGAATATCGGGCGTATTTAGGGTATCTAGGTTATTCCCTACCCTCGGTGGCACTCTTCTCCTCGCCCGGTCTACTCCTCGCTCATCCCCGGAGTGCTCAACCAGCGTTCGAAGCTGCAAGGTCTAGGTGTCTGTACATCCCAAACCCTAAACCCTAAAACAAATTAGCCCAAATACCCCAAATACCCTAAATACCCCAAATCCCCTAATACCCCAAATACCCCAAATCCCCTACCCGAACAGGTTCGCAGCTGCAAGGTCTAGGTGTCTGTACATCCCAAACCCCCACCCCCAAACCCTAACACCGCATTCAGAAGCCAAAAGCCTAGGCCCGGGAATACCCCCCAAACCCCAAAAAAGCCTCAACCCTAAACTCCCTAAACCCCCAAAATTCCCTAAACCCCTAACCCGAAACTCTAAACCCTAGACCCTAAACCCTGAACCCTAAACCCTAAACCCTAAACCCTAAACCCTAAACCCTAAACCCTAAACCCCTGCCGCCAGCTGGCCAGCCTCTTCTTTGACTCCAACGCTCCTCGCCTTCTCAGCTGAGCGTGCTTGTGCGTTTAGTTCTCTGGGCTTGTCACGGGTTGTCCTGAACCCTCAACCCTGAACCCCGGACCCCAAACCCTATAAACCCTAAGCCCTGAACCCCAACCCCTAAACCCCAACCCCTTAACCCTAAGCGCTAAGCGCTAAGCCGTAAGCCCTAAGCCCTAAGCCCTAAGCCCTAAGCCCTAAGCCCTAAGCCCTAAGGCCTAAGGCCTAAGCCCTAAGCCCTAAGCCCTAAGCTCTAAGCCCTAAGCCCTAGCCCCTAGCCCCTAACCCCTAACCCCTAACCCCTAACCCCTAACCCCTAACCCCTAACCCCTAACCCCTAACCCCTAAACCCGAACCCTAAAACCCTAAAACC